CCCCAAAACCCCAAAACCCCAAAACCCCTAGAGATAAAATCTTGCAAGATTAATGAAATTTTTTTTTAAATAACAAATAAATGTCAAAAGCAATAACTCAGATGGAATAGATTCCATCAGATTATTATAATAAAACAAAATAAACTATTTCCTCAAGATTTATGCCCAAGTTAATTTATCCTAGAGACTAAAAAGATATAATCAAGAAAATGGTTACGATTGGAGTAGGAGTTTATGATACTTCTCATTGAAACTTATATGGCAATAATTAAAATTTAATGAAAGAGCCAGAAATCGCTACGTCAAAATAAAATATAGACGACACAGATAATTAGGGGTTACACAAAAAGTTTAAATCAGAATAACTGAACAATATAAAGCCCATTCTAATTTAGAGTAAATATGAAGTATCTCAGACCTAAACCTTATCTCCAAGCTCTGCTGCTCCTATTGCTACGCCTACTTCAACTTAAAAGCATTAAAAACGTAAATTTGTCCCTCATTTGTTCAATAAATATGTGGGCTCACCAAAGTATCTTTAAGAGATAAACAAAGTTGATATTTCTTTAAGAAATATGGAGATATTAAGTTAATAAGATTCAGCTAAAAAATCAATGCAGTAATCTTGCAATTTCAATCTCACAGCAACAAGCTTTAACTCCTAAATATTTGCTTAAAATACTGATGATATTTCAAATGATATCTAGAATAAAGCTAGGAGATCCTCCTTTCTGAGTTTTACAAGAAATGGAAATCTTGATAATGCTAAGACAACTCAGACATTGGATGGAAGAATTGAGATTGACTTGAATAAAACTTCATAGACATTTAGTATATCAAGGAATAACATCCCAGTCAAACGAATATTAACTGCTTCTAGGTATAGTAAGTTGGAAAGAGATTAAGAGGTAACAAATTAGAGGAAAATAGAGTAATAATACCTTTAGATTCTAAATTATAAAGATAGTAAGATTTAAGCAGAGAAAGCTAATAAAATAGATTAAATTACAGCTAAGAGCTTTAATTGAACTTAGCTTAGTGTCCTTTAATCTAGGTCATCTAATTAGAGAACTTCAAAGTAATAATAAGACACTATTTCAAGTTCTCCATAAGTTCAGTATAAGAAGAGTGAATTTAAAGATTTTGAAGAAGAATAATATTAGAAGATGTTTAGATTTAGTGGTCAAATACAAAATCATGAGAATAGAAAGAATATATATGAGATTTTATAATAAGAATCAGTCAAGCTAAGCAAGAAGTACAATATCTCTGAGCTTAAAATAAAGCTAAAGTAACTTAAGAGGAATGCAGAATTATCTCCCAGACAAAATGAAATATCACCTAGTCATTCACCTGTTAATAAGCATGAGAAAAGTCTCATAAGCAGAAATTAATAAAATAGAGCATTATCTATTCAGTCAAAATCCAGAAACATTCAAAATTTAATATAGCAAATAGGAGCATCATAGAAAAGTTAAGAATCTATAGAAAAAACTTCTAATAATGCAATATAAAATTATGCTAAAGTACCCTTGGTATATCAGGAATATCTTGATCATGATACCAAGAAAAGAACATACTATGCTAGTAGGGATGGTGATGAGCAAATTAAATCCAATCAGAGCACAACAAATAATCTGCAGAAATACCAATTGAAATTCTAAAACTAAAATCACAATCGAAATAAAAGTGCTATTTAGATAAATAATAACTTTGTAAGGAAGAACTACTGGATCACCAAATAGGCACAAGATAGCAAGCTATCTTCAAGAAACAAGGTTGATCTCGATCAAAACCAAACTTAGCAGCCTGAGAGATTTTTAAAAAAGCTGGTTATTCAATCATAGTCCGAGTATGAACACAACAGAAGTTCAAGTAGATAGTAAGAATCAATTACATTGGATTTCGACAGTAGCATGATGTCCGAGACAGATAAATTTTTCTCTAGAAAGAGCGCATTAAATTTTTTGTGAACAATAATCCTCATAAAGATGAGATGATAATATGATATAAGTTAAACTTAAATATTCTCTTCGTTTATTTCATTACTTTTAAAAAAGATAACGATCATTATTTTCAAACTTGGGGTTTTGGGGTTTTGGGGTTTTGGGG